TCTGGATTCTCAATTCTGTTCCATTGGTCTATGTATCTGTTGTTGTACCAGTACCAGGCTGTTTTGACTACTGTGGTGGTATGATAAGTTCTAAAATCAGGTAGTGTGAGGCCTCGCACTTTGTTCTTCTTCTTGAGTAATGCTTTACTTATCCGGGGCCTCTTCCCTTTCCATGTGAAGTTGGTGATTTGTTTTTCCATCTCATTAAAAAAATGCTGTTGGAATTTGGATCAGGATTGCATTGTATCTGCAGATCGCTTTGGTTAGAATTGACATTTTCACAAGTGTTGAATCTTCCTATCCATGAGCAAGGTATGTTTTTCCACTTATGTAGATCTCTTGTTTTCTTGCGGTAGTATCTTGTAGTTTTCATTGTATATTCCTAAGTATTTTATCTTCTTGATGGTATGTACTTTCTTTAAGAAAGGATATGATTAGCTTACCAGGCATTGTAATTTTCATGGCCTGCTTTTGAGTACACCAACATTTAGAAGTGGATTAGACTTGAGATCCACCAGGGAGTGGAGGCAGGAGAATGCATCATTCTTCTTCCTGTTTCAGAGGAGTAGGTACCAGAGAGGAGAAGGCAGATGAGTGACCAGGTCTGGATACAAACTTCAACAGTTTTTCTAACATACATATATGGACTTCTTTGCAACTCTGTCACCATGGTTATTTTCCTTCTCATATGTCTAGAAAAATGACAGTAGTTATTCCTGTTGACATTTTTACTGTCCTAAAAAATATTAAAGGCCATGAGGAGTGGGTTCTTAGACACATTCACTTGGAGGCAAATAAATATTACTTCCAACAGAAATGGAATAGTATCTGATGGTTCGACCTTTCTGTGGCAAGAATAAAGCATTTTTAGGAAAGATCATAGTTATAGTGAACCATAGTGACTATTCCAAGAACAAGTTTCTGAAAAGATACGTGATTATTGAGAGTTTTTCCATCCAACCGATGACCCCATCTATAAAATGAGGGCATTGGGCTGTTACAATGGACAAGTATTGTATGACTTTTTTTAACTTATAGATCTATTGAGCCTTCCAAATCAATTATCCAGGGTATTGAGAAAAAGTAGACAAGTAGATAAGCATTTGTTTGGGAGCAGAGTCTTGACATTGTTCTAATCTTTGTTTTTGTTTTTGATTTACGTTTTGCCACGGAAATTTTTTCTTACCTAGTTTCTAATTTTGTGTGTGTGTATGAGTAGATTACAAAAGGAATTAAGATCCTGCAAAATGCAATAATACGACAAGATAAGCGACTGGCCGAAGCAATGGTCGGTGATGGTTCCTTTCATGTTACCCTGCTGGTGATGCAGTTGTTAAATGAAGATGAAGTAAACACGTGAGTAATATGTCTTTCTTGAATATTATTATCTAAATTATTATGTTAATATGAGTAAACATAGCAGAACCCAAAGAGGCACTGAAATTCTAAAGAAATATTCTTTATTTTAATTTATTCCAGTTAATAATCAGTGTACGCAATTAGCTGTGTAAATATTCTTCTTAATCTAGACCTTTTTACTAATGTTATTATTATCAAATGGTAGCCCTTGGTTATGCAGTTGTTTTGCTCATGCTAATTATGTAAGTATACATTACATAATTTAGGTTATGTAGTCTGACCAGGTGGGACCAATCCTTAGAGAAGGACATCAGGCTTGGTAGAGGGTCAGTGAAAGTGAGGAAGACCCTCAACAAGATGGATTGACACAGTAGCTGGAACAGTGGGTTCAAACGTAACAACAATTGTGAGGATGGCACAGGACTGGGCAGTGTTTCATTCTGTTATACATAAGGTCACTATGAGTTGGACCTTATGTATAACAGCAACAACGACAGTCTGACCGTTTAGGTTAGGCTTCTATGTAAAGATTCTGAAAGCAAGGCACAACTCAACTACCTCTAATTAACTGATATTATTACCTGTTAGAGCTGCCATTCCACTAGGCCAGTGGACAACTACAGTTTTACCTCAGTCATTCTTAAGAGTCCCTGTATCCCCTCATCCAAGAATCATTCCATAAAGGTTGAGTATAAGACATTGATTGCTGCTTTCCAATCTGGAGTGCAGAAACCTTGCTTTTCCTCCAATTCTTTGGGTCACTCTATCTGTACTTATGATTCCACCTTTCCCTGGTACTTCTTTTGTAGCCCTCTTGATTTTTCCAGAAAGCCGAAGCTCTGGAACACCAAAGCCAGAATGAATTGAATATTTCTTTTATTTTCTACCCTCACATATATATCTTCTGTGGGAGTGAAGAACAAGGCTTGAATTGAGAAGGGGGTGAGCAAAAGAAAATAAAAGGGAGAAAAGGAAATAAGTTACTCAAAATTACCAGTTACATTTATGATTATTTTCTTATATGGTAAAACCTCATGTTTTTAGATACCAGTGTTCTGATCTCTCTCAACCTGATCTGCCCAAGAGCAGCCCTGGGCACCCTGCAAGGGCAGAGAGGGCTAGAAGATTGTACTTAACTTAATTTGTCTGATCACTTTGCCAGTGTGGGGGGTGGGGATGAATGCTTTTGTGCTCTTAAAAAAAGAGAAGCCAAGGAAGATGTGAACCAGGAAGGTGAAAGGCTGAGAAAAAAGAGTAGTGGCTAGTGTGTGTTAAAGTGGAGCAGCAGGAGTAAATACTGAGCTTGTGTAGAGGGTGGTAGGTAGGAGACACTGAAGCAGCAACAAATCCAAAAGATCTTCGGTGTGGTCAGTGGAAGTGCAGACAGCTCTGAGGAGGGGTGTGGCCGTGAGGATGTTGTCCCATCTGAACTGTGGGCAGAGAGAGCAAAGGCAGAGGAAAAGGCATGAAGCCAGACACAGCTTGCTGGTTCCTTTTTTGGGATTAAACACTCTGTAACCCTCCTTGCCTCCATCGTTGGAGCAGAGAACTAGGAATGATAGAAACACTGATCAGCTTGGGCTTCTCAGGTTGTAGCTGGGAAAATTGCAAGCTCTTTAGAAAAGTTCCTGTTAAACTAATACTGGAAAGATGTGGTATTAACTAGGTTGAGGAAGATTCCTAGCAGATGGGCCTGAGGTAATTCCTTATTCCCCACTGTCTGTTCAAGACATACAGATGGATTCAGAAGTTTCCTGTGCACGGGTGGGAGAACTTGGAAGTTCAGAGAGAAACAGTGGATCTGAAGAAGCTGGGTGACGGCCAAGGCCAGTGCTGAGTATCTTATTTCTTGATCAGAGACCCAGGCAGGGATTTTATGCTTCCGCAGTAGGTGCCAGTATGCAGAGAGAAAGGCATGCTGTCAGTGGGGACCAATGTAGGACACCCAGGGATATAACAATACCACCCTCCCCCTCCCAAGATCTCTGAGAAGATCAAAGACCAAAGATCTTCCTTAATCCTATTACAAGGGTATTCAGGCTTTCTTGGGAAGGAGGTGGGAGAGGGCATGGTGACCCCCTGCCAAGGGAAAAGCAGTTCTGAAAGGAAGTCTGAATTAAATGAATAATTGTACCCCCAAGAGGCCTTTTTAAACCAGAGAAGACTGAGTTACTGTTGACAGAGAGACTGAGAGAGAGAGAAGCAGGGGAGATTGGCCTGCTGGAAGTATAAATGACCCTCTGTATCTCAATAGCCTCTACTGATGAACACATAATTAACTATAAATACTGTTAACAGTGGGCTTGAGGTGAGGGGGGCAGCTACGTTCAAGATATATTGAGACGTTTACAGCTTTCAGTGTGGGTGGAGCTGCCCCTTGTAGGAGACCTTTGGAAATATTTGGGGGACATTTTTGGTTGCCTCAATTACTGAGGATTGCTATAGGCATTTTATGGGCAGGAATCAGGGCTCCTAAACCACCTACAGTACATGAGGGAATTCTGAACTAGGAAGAGTTATCTAGCCCTAAATCCCAATATTACCTGTTAAAAAATAACCATACAGAGCACAGTAACATTCTGAGTCATTCAGTCATATGTTTCACCATGTCTCTTTGCAAATGGCACAGTGGTTAAACATTTGGCTGCCAACCAAAAGGTCAGCAGTTCCAATTTACCAGCCACTCCTTGGAAACCGTATGGAGCAGTTTTACTTTGTCCTATACAGTGGGTATGAGTTGGAATCGACTTGATGGCAATGGTTTTTTAATTTTGTTATTTGCAGATACACTTCACGTTTGTGTAAGAAACTAAATGCTTATTAGTAAGTCTACTTTATATTTGAAGAGTTAAAATAGCGTCTTTATACTACTTTATGATACTGGGAGTAGTGTCTGATGGCTGGATATTTACAGCTTAGTAATTACTCTTGACTGAGTTATAATGAAAAATCTAAATAACTAAAAATCTAAGAAATAACTAAAGTTTGCTATCAGACAAGATCGTATTGCAGTTCAACCAACATTAATTATCAACTATGTACAAGACATTGAGCTAGGTGCTTTGGGGAAAATAAAGATGAATTTAGAATGGATCTTGTGCTCATGGATTATACAGTTTAGTTGAATAGATACTATATGAATTTAAATAACTAGGTATAAAATGGTAATGGAATTTAAAAGAAGAGAAGATTTACTTCTAGTTTGGGCAAATCAGGAAAGTATGGCAGAGTGTCAGCTTCTTACAGACAGTGATGGTAAGATTCAAGGTGTGCTTTCACTTTGGGCAACTGTATAGTGAGAGAGAACGTGATTGGCTTTTCTGCTAAGAAATTGTTTATATGAAGGATTTTTTTTTAAATCTCTTAAGATTTTTATCTTTCATCCTGTACTATATAATATGCTACCCATCTAGATTGTCTGTTTCTTGGCTGATATTTATTCTTTCTTTTCAAAGCCTATTGTGATCGTATTTTAGGTGTTTAATAAGGGATTGATCAGTGGATTGGAAATGGAGTGTGCAGAGATGTTTTTTATAACCATGAATTTCGTCAGATAGACACCACCTAAGATCCTTTGTGTCCTCACAGTGTGTGAGAAAGGAGTAGAATTGTATTAAGCCAAACCAAGCTGCTGATTTGAAAAGATATCTGTGCTGTCTTAATTTTAAATACAACCTTTAGGTCTGCACTCCAGTTTCAGAATTCTGTTTTCTATGTGCATATACTTTCTACTCATTTTACCGTAAAGAAAAAGTCTTTCCATAAACCCTTAACACATTCTATTTAAAAAATTTGACGGTTAGTGGGACTTAATGATTCCTTTTAACTCTGTGATTCAATGATATCTAATTAGGACAAATTTATTGATTTATAGTACTGGAGAAATTAAAAACTGGGCTGAGTGTAGACCATCTATATATTTCACTCTCTGTGAAAAGCCCTAGTCCTTAGCTTTAGCATACAGTTTCATTTAAAGCATGTATCTTGAATTCCCACAACTTACCACAGATGTACCAAAAGTGTTTGTTCTGTTATTGCCTGCATTCACAACACAGAATGAAGGACAATATTATAGAAGTATGTACACTAGGTCCTTTTGAATGAACATAAATAACAGGAAAGATCAGGATGTGGATATGGAGGTACAATGAGAAGTGTTGACATTTCCAAAGCGAAAACCCCTAGTCCTTAGCTTTAGCATACAATTTCATTTAAAGCAAGTATCTTGAATTCCCACAACTTATCATAGATGTACCAAAAGTGTTTGTTCTGTTATCACCTGCATTCACAACACAGAGTGAAGGACAATATTATAGAAGTATATACACTATGTCTTTTTGAGTGAACATAAATAACAGGAAAGATCAGGATGTGGATATGGAGGTACAATGAAAAGTGTTGACATTTCCAAAGCTATCGTTAAGTATTGCACATTATGTTATTACAGAGTAATAAGACTGAGTATGGAGGCCAGGGATGAAAATCAGTTAAAAACTATATATGCTGTTGTCCTGAGATAATCTTTAAACCTTAAACCAAAAGTATTGCCTGAAGTCTTCTTAAAATCAAACAATAGTTTAGCTTAACTAGTAAAGATTGTCTGCCTTGAGCATTGGGCTCTTTTAAGATCTATCTATATGAGATCAAATTGACAACAGCAACTCAGAAGATTAGGTAGGAACCTTAGGGGACAGTGAGTTTATGTTAATGGAGGAGGAAGAATTTGGAAAAGGAGAGTGAGAATGGTTGGACAACTTGAAGAATATAATTAATGTTACTGAATTGTACATGTAGAAATTATTGAATTGGTCTGTGTTGTGCTGTGTATATTCTCAACAACAACAAAAATAAAATTATATTAAAAAACTATGTATGTTGACTAGAAATGTAAAAGATCTAGAAAAATACCTCCCCTCCATTTGACACGTAACTACTAGTGAACAAATCATTGATCAAAATAATTGTGGTTCACCTCTAAGTACTCTAAAGAGTGTGCCTGTTTCTTTTGTGAGTAATTGCTGCCCTCTAGTGGTATATATTTTTCATAATAAAGTATCTGTACCAGAAGTCTCTTCAGGATGGAAGTAGTTGATCTGAATTTTCAAAATATTCCAAACCTGATAATGTCTAATTCATTAATATAGTAGACACTTGTTTTTATGAAGAAAAATAAATTATTTGAAACATAGAGTGGCTCTGTAATCACATAGCCTAAACAGGTGTAACAAACTTATTTTACTTTACATAGCTGCAGTTGGGGAATATAATTTAGTTTTTTTCTATTTGAATACAAGTACAGTACATTATTTTATTATACTATTATAAGAGATAATGTATATTAAGTTTTAGTAGGGTGCCTTGCAAATAGTAAATACTATGTAAGTATAAGTTCTTTTAACAAGACTTTAGAATTTTCTGCATAATCTAAGTTCTCGTAGGTACTGGGTTTTCTTGGGATGTGTTATTAGTGATTTTTTTGAATGGTCCATGCAGTATTTTCTTGGTTAAAAATTTCTTAGCCAATTATGAAATAGTATCTACTTTCATGTCTTTAGTAGCAGTTATAATTAGGTAAAGACTTAATTCACTTCCTCCATAGTTTTTATTTAAAAATTAATAATAGTTTTAGTCTTATAGGTTAGTTTTAGAAGGTATTCTGAGCTTTAAAATAATTAGTACAAATGGTAGCAAAAATGTTAAAATTAATTTACATTTCTAAAACTGGTTACTTTGTTCCTTGTTTGATTTTGTGTATTTTATTGCTTAATATATTATTGAAAAATATATTATCTCCTACCAGGGGTATTGATGCGCTTTTGGAATTAAAACCATTCATAGAAGAAATCCTTCAAGGAAAACATTTGACTTTGCCTTTTCAAGGTGTTGACAATTTTAGAAATCAGGTTGGATTTGTAAAGTTGGCAGAAGGAGATCACATAAACCCACTTTTGGAGATAGCAGGTAAAACAAACAGCATCATACTCATGTCAAACCTCATCTGTTTAAGAAGCAAATGTTTAAAAATTTTTTGTAATAGAAGTTTGATGTCCCTTAATTTTTGGGAGCTGGTAGAATCTCATTGTATAAGTGAGCTGCTTTGGTATTTGCTGGTGTAAGTGAATTAGCCAAATAAAGGGCCTGAAAAGTTATCTTGATTCTTCGACCTAAGGGTTATGTTGATTCTAGGGCTGTCTGGAAGGCAATGGACTGTATGCAGGTATGTGTTAAGCTGATCCCAATCCTAAGTCTGAAGGACCCCGGTGGTCATCATGACATTTGACACATAGTTGGCACTTAATAAGTATTGAATGAATGAGTAAGAATCACTAGTTGCCTATTCAGGTTATAAGGAATTGTTAAACCTATTCTAGAGAGTCAGTAGATCAAATTGAATTCCAGTTCACTATTGATGTTATTGGCAAAACAGCCACATTCTACGGTTCTTACAAATTTATTTTCTCTGTGTTTATTTCTTCTATATCATGTTGGGCCCAAGGAGTTATACTTTAGTAGGAAAGAGTCGTTCTTTTAACATGCATTTAGCCAGTGTCAAGTAGGTGTTTGGGATGGAAAACTGAAAACAAACAAGAACGACAACAACAAAAGACTTCCTTGTCCTCTAAGGAGTTCACAGTCTTATGCAGGAACACAAAGGCAAACAATTACAATGCAACATAATCATTTCTGTAACTGGGAGCAGGTATAGGATATAAGGGCACTTAGGAGAAGGAACCTGGAGTGGGAAAGATTTCATAGAAGTAGCATTTGAGCTGAGGCCTATAGGATAAGTGAAGTTTTTTCTATTAGGCAAATTGGAGGAGGACATTCCAGGCAGAGGAAACAACATGTGCAAAGAAATCAAGGCAGGAGAAATTATAGCATATTTAAATAGTTGAGTTTTACTGGAATATGAGTTGAAAATGTAGGAGTATCATTAAAATGAGGATCATATGCTGAAAAAGAAGGAGCCCTGGTGGGATGGTTGTTAAGCGTTCGGCTCCTAACCGAAAAGTCAGCATTTCAAACCCACTAGCTGCTCTGTAGGAGAAAGGTGTGGCAGTCTACTTCCATAAAGATTACAGCCTTGGCAACCCTATGGGGCAGTTCTGCCCTGTCCTGTAGGGTTGTTACGAGTTGGAACAGACTTGATGGCAACGAGTATGCTGAAAGGGTGCAGTGGAAATGAAATAAGGGCTTGAGGAAAGTGGTGAAAGTTTGAAATAGCAACTGAGGGAAATGGAAGGGAAAACTCTGATAAGGAACATGTAATGTGGCAGCTGATTTTTACCATGAGTCAGGGGTAACAATGAGGTAGCAGAGTAATGCGAAGATGCATTTGGGATTGGATTCCAATGAATTTTAATGCAACTAATTTGTGACATTCTTAAGTATTATCCAGAGATCTAGATGTGGGAGTGGAGATGGGAAACTGAATTAATCTGTGCTTAAGTCCTTATGTAGTAGATGTGGTAAAAGGGCATAGGAACAAGAGCACTGACAAGAGAGTCATTGCATGGTCCATGTGATGCATTGTCAGGTGTACATCAGAGAGGGCAATAATGTTTTGAGGTGGCCAATACTTGACAAGAAGAATGAGGGTTAAAGGGTAGTAGAAGTAAGGGAGTTAGAGAGTTAGAAGAATTATAAGTTATGATCAAAGAGTGCTGTATTGGATTTTAAGAATTTAGGAGGAAGTTTCTAGATAATATGGCAGAGAGAGCATGAGAGAACCTCCACCATTGACTTCACAAGGAAAAACAAATGATAGATGTTGTTAGGTGCCGTCAAGTCAGTTCCAACTCATAACGACCCTATAGGACAGAGTAGAACTGCCCCGTAGGGTTTCCAAGGAGTGGCTGGTAGATTTGAACTGCCAACCTTTTGTTTAGCAGCTGAGCTCTTAACCACTACGCCATAGATAGAACTTTCAAAAAAAGACAGAAAAATTATTTAAACTAATTATACATTTCAGCAAGGTTGCTAGATACAAGATTAATACAAAAACTATAATAATTAAGATGTGTAATTTTCTAAGATGTCATTTATAATAGCAATGAAAATGAAGAATATGTAGGAATAAATCTACTAAAGGATATGCAAGATGTTTATGGAGAAAATATTTTGGGTATTACCATACCTTTATTAGTTGTGTTTATTATAATACCTTTCTCTGTTTCTTTCATATTTGTTGCAATAGCATCTCATGGAGAAATACATCCCTAGAATAAGCCAGATCATCAGAAAAATGCAAACATGTTTAGACAAAATTGTGCTAGTCTCTGTAGGATTGATTTTATGGATTTTGCTTTTATTGTCATTCTTTTTGGCTTATATTGAGGATTTTATAAGAAAGCATTTGATGGAAATTGTTAATGTTTAAGTATTTTTTCTAAATGTTTATCATGTTATGTTAAATAATGTAAGAGCCATTTGGAAAATTTTATTTTTTACCTCAATGTCAGGACTATTTCTGTTGAGCAAATAGTTGTTCTTAACTTATGAATGTTGAATATTTATCTTGTGTTTTTGGGTTAGAATCAGTTGCCTGAAAGCCTAGAACCTAGTTTATCGCTTGCCCCAAATTAGAATACAGGACATAATGTCATTCTTTTTGTACACTTACCTCATTCCTACCTTGATCTTATCTTTTCAGTTTCTCTTTGTCTCATTTTCCTTATTTTAAATGTATTTGTCTTTTCACTGTATACACTTCTTTGGAGTCACCTTAATCTTTATTTTTGGGGAGGGGCAGAGCAAAACAGGTGTAAACAAACATGGGAACATAAACAGTGTTTTCAAGTCAAGTAAGATTTAACGTCAAGGAGAAGTCCCTTCTAACAGTTTCAATGGCAAATCATTAGGGAATTGATGCCTACAGTTAACAAACTCAGTCTGTTCTTCTTGATTATTCTGGAGAAAAGGCTGGACTCAGGTCTTTTCTTTTGTAGTATAAATATCTCTGAGCTCAAGAAACATTTCTAATAAGTCATTTATTCATTGTTCTTTTAAGTAATTCAGTGGTTGCTTGCAACATTGAGAATTCCGTCCATTCTTTGCAAATATCCTCACAAAGGCAGTTTCCAATATTGATGAAAGATCCATTGTGTGCTGAGAAATGTGGACTCTCCCCAGCTTTAATATGAATATGAACTCAAGGATGCTGGTTTGTCATTTTAGCAAAAGCCACATCCCCTGTAATTCTTTTCTTGATGCCAGAGGTATTAGGTACTGTCGCTTAAAAAATGTCTACTTTTCCAAAAATTATAACAAAACATTAAAAAAAGGGAAAATAGAGGGAGAATAGCACTCTGTCTCCCTGTGTAATCACTGTTTGTTGTACTTCTAATCTTTAATGGGCATATAGTACGTTGCTTTTGATTATAATTTCTATGCACTTCTATAAGAAACTTAAATATTTGAATATGTATATAGAAAAATTTATTCAATCAAGCAGCATATATTTATTAATTATTGAGGACTTATTTTGTGTCTCGGGAGAAAGATGTGGCAGTCTACTTCCATAAAGATTACAGCCTTGGAAACCCTATGGGGCGGTTCTGCTCTGTGCCATAGGGTTGCTACGAGTCAGAATCAACTCAATGGCATGGGTACTGTGTGTCAGGCATTTAAGTTTAGTTGAAGCCTCCATTCATATGGTGTTCAGATATTCAGAATGTTCAATACATACACTTTTTGTCAATATTTTACATTTTTGAGCACACAAATTTAAAAGAATGCCACAGAATTAATACCGCTTTATTCCAACAGTATCCATAAAACTGTTTAGTATTTGTTTTTGTGTCATATTTTAGAAACCGTTTTTCCAAATCATATATTCTAACTTTAAGAATAATATTCCATTAACTGAGACACTGCATCTCTTAACACTTTACAATAAACTGTGTATGTATATGCCTACACAGGAATATTAAAAGCTGATTCCTTCAAAATAAGGGAGGCAGGTCTAGTCTGACTTAATGGAAAGCAAGAGAATTTGTAAGGAAAATAACTATAATGATTTGTAAAGTATTTGTAAAGAAGTTAAGTTTAATTGCAGTGTATGAACTTGAAAAATAGTTGAAAATAATTCTGATTCATCTATTTTTTCATGGAATTTTAGATTTGCAAGTTAAACGAAATAAATTCCTAGAATATTACGTAGTTTTTATGAAAAGAGGACTGATTTTTAGACACACATCTGTCAGTTTGTCTTATTGTGGTGGCTTGTATGTTGCTGGAAGCTAGGCCACTGGTATTTCAAATACCAGCAGGGTCACCCATGGTGGACAGATTTCAGCGGAGCTTCCAGACTAAGACAGACGAGGAGGAAGGACCTGGCGGTCTACTTCTGAAAAAAATTGACAGGTGAAAACGTTATGAATAGCAGCAGAGCAGTGGCTGGTATGGTGCTGGAAGATGAGCCCCTCAGGTTGGAAAGCACTCAAAATATGACTGGGGAAGAGCTTCCTGCCTCTTCAAAGTAGAGTGGACCTTAATAACGTGCACGGAGTAAAGCTTTTGGGACTTTCATGTGTTAATGTAGCATGACTCAAAATGAGAAGAAACAGCTGCAAACATCCATTAATAATTGGATGAATCTAGGAAAATTGGAAGTCATCAAAAATGAAATGGAACACATAAAGATCAATATCCTTGGCATTAATGAGCTGAAATGGACTGATATTGGCCATTTTGAATCAGATAGTCATATGTTCTACTATGCTGGAATTGACCGATTGAAGGGGAATGACGTCACATTCATTTTCAAAAAGAGCATTTCCAGATCTGTTATGAAGTACAGCACTGTCAGTGATAGGATACTATCCATACACCTATGAAGAAGACAGGTTAATATGACTATTATTCAGATTTACCCCCCAACCACCACTAATACCAAAGAAGAGGAAATTGAAGATTTTTACCAACTTCTGCAGTCTGAAATAGATCAGACATGCAGTCAA